TCATTGTTTGCAGTGCTGGGAGCTCCAAGCAGGACCTTGGGAGTGTTAGGCTGTATCTCCAGTGCTCTAGGACTTTGGGTTTGTTTTCGTCTGAGATGATCTCATGTAGCCCAGGTTGGCTTCAGATGTGTTACCAAGTGGAGCGTGATGCATGCGTCTCACCCTTGTTGGAGGTCAGAGGGCAGCTTTGTAGAGTCCATTTCTCGCCTTCTACCTTTAGGCTGTGTACTAGTTAGGTTTCTGTCACTGTGACAGAACCAAGGCCAAAAGCAAACCGGGGGAGAAAGGGTTTGTTTTGAGTTACACACTTTCGGTCACAGCCCATCACTGAGGGAAGTCGGGGCAAGAACTCAAGGCAGGGACCTAGAGGCAGGTGCTGAAGCAGGCCATGGAAAAATTCTGCCTTGCTCCCCATAGCTTGCTCAGCCTGCTCTAAGAAACTCTCCAGACCTACCTACCCTGGGGGGGCGGGGCGGGCGCAGGCTGAGACCTTGCCGTCAATCAAGAAAATTCTCCACAGATGTGCCCACTGGCCAAACTGACAGAGGCAATTCCTGCTGAGTTGGCTCAGCAGTTAAGGACACTTGTTACTTTTGCAAAGGACCATGGTTTGATAACCAACATTCACATGGAGGCTCACAACTGTCTATAACTCCATTCCCAGGGAATTAGATGCCTTGTTGTGACCTCAGCAGGCACTGGGCACACACGTGGAACACTTACATGCATGCAAGCAAAACACTCATACATACTGGAGGGAAAAATATCAGCTCAGGACCCGAAGGAACAAGTTCTCAGCAGAAGAGGGACAAAGGGCAGGGAATGAGATAAAGACAGGAGGTAGAGGAAGAGGGGGAAGGAGAAAGGGAACAAGGGAGAGGGAGAGTGGATGGAGAGGAGACAGATGTGGCCCATAGGCAAATGGCAGCTTGTGAAAGCAGAGGGGGAAACCCTGTGTTAAGGATGAGGGTTTAATTTTGATTGGGCATGTTAATTAGGTAAGCCAAAGGGGAGCTTTTGATTGCTGGACTTCAATTATTTGATAGCTGGACCTTGGTAGTCAGCCTCAGGAGGAGGAAGTGGCCAAATAAGGAAATGGACCTTGGGGGCTAGCTTTAGGAATGTAATCTAAACGGGTGTTTAGCAAGGCAGGGAGAATGGGGGAGAAGGGCAAGGCCGGCCAGAGCCACGCTTGCCAATTTCAGCTGGCCAGAGTCCCTCCACATATACAATTAAAATAAACAACTAAAAACAATAAATCATGGGTTTATTATGGTGCTATCCACACGAGCAGGTACACTCTCTCACACACAGGTCATTCTTATTTCTGGACTATCTGTCTCTGTTTTTTGACGGGGTTTTATGTACCCCAGGCTGACCTCAAAACTATGTAACTAAGGGTGGCTTTGACCCTTAGTCCTCCTGCCCCTACTTCCTGAATGCTGGGACCACAGACAGGCCTAACCACACATCATTTACATGATGCCAAGTAAAGTCACGGCTTGCACATGCAAGGCAAGTGCTCTAAGAACTGAGCTATGTCCCCAACCCTGTGTCTCTCTTCATTTTACCTTTCTCTTTTTCCTCCATTTTCTTTCCTGTCTCCTGTTGTTGAGGACATTTAGGGACACACAAGTCTGTGACTCTCTCATTCTGCAAATGTGCAGGTCAATGAATTTGAGCAAAGTTGTTCAGTTCTGTGCCTGTCATCACACAACCACTCTGTGACCCTTTGGTGGCCTGAATAGGTTTGGCCCCCAAAGACGCATGAGTTTGATTGCTTGGCCCATGGAGAACGGCACTCTAGGGAAGTGTGGCCTCATTGGAGGAGGTGTGGCTTTGTTGGAGAAAGTATGTCACTGTGGAGGCGGGCCTTTGAGGTCATCTATATGCTCAACCTCTGCCTAGCGTGACACACTCCCACCCCCACCCCCGGCTGCCTTTGGGTCAAGATGCAGAACACTTGGCTCCTCCAGCACCATGTCTGCACGCCGGCTGCCTTGCTTCCCGCCATATTGACTGCGGACTAAACCTCTGAAACTGTGAGCCAGCCCCACTTTAAATGCTCACCTTTATAAAAGCTGCTGTGGTCATGGCGTCTCTTCACAGCAACAAAACCCTAAGACAGACACCTTCCTTACAAACACTTCCTGTTTCTTTTCCACCTCTCAGAGATCACAGATCTGCTTTCTGCCTCTGTAGCTTTGTCGTCTCTAGGGACTGCATACAAGTGGGATCCCAGACTACCAAGTCTTTAGGATGGAGCTTCTTTCCCTTCGTGCACATCTCTGCATGGTACTCTCTCCTTTCTACCACTTTTGGGAAGCCTTCTTTTGTCTCTGTTTTTCCCTCTAGATTTTTGAGTCTAGGTCCTGCTGTATAGCCCAAACTGGCCTCCAGTTTATAATCCTCTCACCCTAGGGCTGAGAATGTAGGAGTGTACCACCAGGCTTGGCTAGAGATCTCTACTTTCCTTCATGGGCTCCACCGCCATGCACAATTTCCACCTCTAATCTTTTTAATCACCCTAAGCCTTTGATTCCTTAGATGCAATGAGGAGAAAACGAACAAACAAACAAATCACCGAGTCCACGCCCATAGCCAATCCTAAAAGGGACCCAACCTGCTCCAGCCCCTGGTAGTCTGAGCTGTGTTAAACGCTGGTGGTGGCCAGCAGGCAGAAACGAGAGGAGTCGGGTGGAAGGCGGGTAGGTTGTGGCTCAAGACTGGTCGACGGGGGGGGGGGGGGGGGGGGGGAATAAACACAAAACAAATGGGAGAATAAAGTCAGTTTACTGAATGCATGGCTCCACTCCACTCAGGGCGGGCTGAGGCCTGAACAGAGGCCCTCAGCAGTGGGAGTCCAGGCTGCTGGGCTGAGGGGCAGCAAGCAGGGGAGCCCACCGGGGACTGCTGGCTGGGATGGCTGGGATGGTCCCCCGTGGCTACCCATAGATGCTCAAACCAGACCCCCCCCAAACAGAGTGGCACGGGTGAGAATGGTAACTGGGAACACATTGGCTTCAGTTTCAGTAAAGAGGAGGGAAGAAGGGAGGCACAGGGGAACGAAGAAAGGGCTTCCGGGTGGAGAGGTCTCTGCTGCCCTCCGCGACCAGCTCCCTTGCTAGATGACCCGGCCTTGGTAAACGCTGCTTTCATTACCATCTCCCGACTCAGAACCTAGAAAGCAAGACCGTCTCTCAGGCTGCAGGGCCACGTCAGGATCTGTCACACAGGCCATGGAGCCACTGCCTTTCTTTCTCCCACCCGGGGCTAGCCACACACATGGAAATGGTGCCTGAACAGTTCCAGGGAACGGACTCTTCTTTCTGGGGCTGGGGAATCTCTAGACTGCTCACACCGGGGCTCCAGCTGGGCCAGGGGCAGCTGGACTGCTCCTCTATGGCTCTATTTCAGGTTCCAGTCTGGTGATAAAGTTTGCTGGACAGCTGGCAGAGCCCTTGCCTTCCCTCAGGATGTTTCCAAGTTAACTCTACTGCCTAACATGATTGGAGGTGTGGGGATATGATGTCAAGGGCAGGGCGTGGTGGCACGGGTGGGTGGCAGAAGGGTCCAAGTACAGCAAATTGAACAGGAGAGGGGTTCCCCTTCTTCTTGGGGAAACTCTTGTTCTCGACACTTCTTTTTGTCTTTGTTTGAGGTAGCATTTCTAGACTAAGTTCAAAATACTTTATCACAGTAGAAGAAGTGCAGGGAACAGGAGCAGATGACGCCTGACCATTTGCACGGAGACCCTCTCAGCGCTGCTTCTGGTCTCAAGGAAGCCCCAGCCACTCCAGCTGCCCAGGCTCCCTCACCCGTGGGAGGGAGCTCAGTCCCCAAAGGCTGGCACTGTGCTCAGCTGGCCCTCCTGCTTGTCTGGGTTCTGCTCATCACCTGTATGTGTATCAGCAGGTGAGTGCTCTCTTCCTGGCCTTAGTCTTGGCTACGGTGATGCCCATTTGTGCCAGCTGGGAAGCAGCTGTCAGGAAAGCTGGGTCGGGAGTCCTGTACCGGGTTGGCTCACACATCTAAGGATCTGCCTGAGCTGACCTCTCGGTGTTGCCGATGGGGGCCTTTTGCTCAGGGAAAGGTGGCTGTTAAGAAGGCTGACGTGGGCACCACAGGCCCACAAGACAGCTGGCACCTTTTGTGCCACCCTTTGTGCCCTGATGTTTTGTTCTTCCCCTCTGTGTTTACCCGGGCTGAACTGGGGTGGCGGGTCACAGCTGTGACTCAGTGCTGGCAAGCCATATTAACCAGATGCTGCCAACCAGGTGAGTCATGGAAGGCTGTAGGGGCCAAAGAAGAATGTGGCCCCGGGGCCTGGCTGTACTTCTGATGCCCGACTCTGGTCTTGAGGGTGGCTTTGGCACAAAGACAGGGTAAGGGTTGCCAGTGGCCAACCACGGAGGACAGTGTGTTAGTCCCTCTGTCTTGGGCTCCCCCTCCCTCCCTCCCAGTATCTGGAGAGTGTAATGGCGGGGGCAGGCAGAAGGCACCTGGCCTGTACTTTCAGAAGAGAACCGGCTGCCCTGTGGCCTGTGAATGGTTGATTCTGGAATTGGGCCGGCTCCCAACTGAGACAGCAAAAGAGTACCACACAGTCAGACGGGCCATTGCATGGAGCAGCGGAGAGGGGAGCGAATACCCTTCCTTCTCGGTGGAGACTTATTTTGCCGCTGGTGGTTGAGACAGTTGCCCTGGACTTCATTATACAGTGCAGCCTGCCCTGCGTGGGCCAGCACGGCCGGCAGATCCCTCTCTAAGCATCCCCCAGGAACGCTCTCGCACTCTGCTCCAAGGGAGGGCAGCCTCCCGTCACGCAGGTTTAGAAGCCAAGGCTGCCCTTCCGGTCCTGATCGGGTGCTCCCACGCACCCCCCACACCCTCCGGGGTCTGGTGGAGCCCTCGCAGGCTGCACGACATAGCGGTCGCACGGGGCACTAGGGGGCGCCCCTGTCCGGCCGAACCCTCTCGGACGCGCCCGAATGCCGCAGGTTCCGAACTGGGTAGTGCGGGCACCTCCAAGGTGGGGCGGGGCCGGGGCGACAGGACCCTCTCTGCGGGTCTCCCAGCTCGGGGACCGAGCCTTGCCGCCTGCCACATCCCTGGAGGAGCACGAGGCCCTCGCCGAAGCCACGCTGGGAACCCGTGCATGGCCGAGGGAGATGCGGTCTTCGGGAGGCGGTGCGTGCTGGTGGCGACACAAAGGTCTTTCAGACAGCCCACCGCGGCCTTCCCGGCTGCACCCAGGCGGCAAGGCCGGGCTGTGGGGGACGGCTGCGGGAGCAGCCCTGGGGTCTCGCTCCAGGGGGCGCCAGGCCGTCGGGCGGGCTGGCCTGGACCCCACAATCGAGCAGGGACTGGGGCTCTAGGAGCTCCTTTTGTACAGAGAAGAAAGGCCCTTCCCCATCGCTGAGTACCTGCAGCCGGGCTCCCTAAGACTGCGTGCCCTGCATAGCAAGCTGGCTTCCCTAGGGTTGCAGTCTGGGCCCCACCCTGGGGAGCCCTGGCGCAGTGTCTCTTCTGGTCAGGTATTTGTGTTTGGGGGGGGTGCAGGGGCGGGGTCCACAAAGCATCCCTGCAATGGGCTGCATCAACCCTGTCGGTGGGCTGTGCGTGAGAGACAAATTCCAGAGCCCCACCCCATCGCCGGAGTGCGGGCTGAGGGCGGGCCCGGGAATCTGTGTTTCTGGTAAGTTCTCCAGATCGTTGATGCCAGCGTGGGAATCGCTCTCCTAAAGCTTTCTGGGCAGGGCAGACTGTTGTAAATTTTCTCTTCGAAAAACCCAGAGAGACCCGGTTGCCACATCCCTCCGATTCCCTGCGACACTTAACTCTCTCTGCGGATAGAGTCTTCCTGAAGGCTTGTCTCTGAGCCCTCTGCTTTAATTAGGCTCATTGTCTCCAGGGGGAATTTCTATGGAGTAAGGAACCTGTTTGAAAAGGCTGGAGACCTGTTGGCTCTGAATCCAACAGACCAGGCCCACTTGATGGTGCTCAGTGGTACCAAAATCCAATCAAAACCTTTGCTTGTCAAAGGGATGCTCTGGTAACGGCTAACCAGCCTGCTTTTAGGATCCAGGATCCAGAAAGGAAACCGCCAGGAAGGATCCTGGCTGGAATAAAAACAGAAAACAAAAAAACAAGAAACAAGAAACAAAACCCTCTCAAGTGTGGGATGCCAGAGGATCCCAGTGAGGAAAAACGCTCTCTTCCTCGTTAACCCTTTTCCTTGGTTTCAGGATGAATTAAAATTCTTATCGGCCCCACAGCCAGCCTTCCTGACTGTTTTTTAGCGAAGGCTAGAGTTTCCCAAGCTTGGTGGGGGTATTTTTGCCTCTGGGTGGTGGTCATGACTTCCTTCCACAGTGTTAATTAAGGTCAACAGAAAAGCAGTCACTTAGCAGACATCCTTAAAAGGGGCAGGACAGGAGGGACCCCTCCCCAAACCTACTTTCATTTTCTTCCGGTCTGGGTTGTGGGTAATTTCTTGACAACTATGAAAGAGAAGACAATGAGACATGAAATGCTTTTTTTTTTTTTTTTTTTTTTAACAATGCAACTGTGAACAGGTGTCTAACTTCCTGGCCTCAGAATGTCCTAGAACTAACTCCCTTTGCCTCCCTAAGGTGCACAGGATCAGGGCAGGTGTTGTGCCCTGGTGGAGCTCAGCTTGTCCCAAGGACAGTGCAGTGAAAACCCGGGTCACCTTTGCTGTTTTGGGGCTTCTATATTTGGCAGCAGGAACAGACTCGCTCCCTTTTAGCAATTGATCTGAATAACAGAATCCTTTTCTGATGGTCCCTGCACAATTTACAGGCTGCGGGGAGGCAGGCCGTGCTAATTGGCCACTGTTTCACCACTGGCTTTTAAACAATCCCTGTATTCTCTGCTCTGCAGGAAGCTGCCGACCCATCCAGGCCCTGGGCTCTCTTTGTTCTGAGTTTATGGCATTTTCATGCCACAATAAGAAATGCTGTGTACTCCATGGGAGCCCATTGTGCCAGGCTGCAAGGGTGTGGGCCGTGGTGCAGAGGTCCTGTTTCCCTGGGAAGAACAGGGACTTTGTGACAGGCTGCAGACAAAACAAGGGGTACTGGCCAGGGTTCCTGGGCGACTCCCTGGCCTGGGTGGAGACAGCGCTTGTCTGAAGGCTCTCTTCTGTGCCCAGGGCAGGGATGGGATTTCACCTAGAGGAACAGGTCCTGGCTGCCTATGGATTATAGACATGCTAACTTCGTCTGACACATGCTCTGGGCTGCAGAGGCAACCTCAACCTTCCCTGAGATTCTGTGCCAGGTGCTCATGTCACTAGGAATCCCTTGTCCTGGTGAGCAGAGATCCTTTTCTGACTGTGGGTCAAACCTGGGCTTCCCCTGTCTTGGGGAGATTTGACTCCTTGAGACAAGAGTTTCTGGTTTTGGAGAAATAGCTGTAAATGGGGATGGACTGTTGAAACAGGAATGGACCTGTGATACCCTATCTGTCTTCTGGTCCGGCCACTGTGTCCCCTGACTACCCTGGCACTTTTCCTATGGACCTGAGGCTGAGGACAAAGCAGGGCACTATCTTCCTGAAGACACCAATAATCAGAGACAGAATCGGACCAGGAGGAAGGTCATGATGCGGGTCCTGGGGGAGCTGGCTCTAAAGAATGTGTCCCATGTGGGCGTGAAAGGGAAGTGTGTGAAAAGTCCATTTCACTTCACCATCCAGGCCAGACCGTGCCCCATCAGACAGAGGGCGAGCAAGGCTGCTGGAGTCCTGTGGTCCCTGGACATGCTCCTGCCACAAGCATCTGACATGAGGAAAGGAAGGGCCAGCCTTCTGTCGGGCATCTTCGAAGGATAACATCAATGCGGACGCGCGCGCGCACGCACACACACACACACACACACACACAGCCGGGGAAGGAGGAAGAGAAAATTATCACCCATGCTCTCTGCTGGTCTCCTTATCTCTCTATGCCATTGTAACAGCCGCTCAGCTGGTTTCTTCCAACCTGCCCTCCAGGTGTCTACTGCACTTATCTCTCAAATAGGATGTCAACCCCAGGCTGGAAGCTGTTCAGCAGCCTCCAGAGCCACACCTCAGCCTTCCAGCCCTGCACCCTGCCTGTACCTCAGGCTCACTTCCTGCCAGCCCCTCCGAGCAGCTTGACATCCTTGGACCATGCAGAGTTCTCCGAAGCACCACACCTCTGTGTCTTCTGTACCAAATACACCACCTCACCCTACCCACCCCAGGCCCTCTGCCACACTCTCCAAGATTCAGCCAAAGCTCTCCCCACTAACGGCGGAGCCTTCTCTCCGGCTCCATGTGTCCCCTCCACAGATGCTCTTTATAGGCAGCGCTTGTTCTCGTCACCTCTGATTTCCCAGGGCCTAATTTAGAGCCCAGCACACAGTAGGTGTGCAGGATAAACGAGTATACCTTGAATGCTCTCTACAGATTTGCACTGTCCCTTTCTCTTAAACGAAACTCACAACTTGCTACCTGAAAGAAATAGATTCTGATTCAGGAATTCCTTGGAGTATGAAGCCTGACCGAGCGTTTGTTATTACCAGACATTTTCCAGGCACTGGAGAACAGCAGTTCCATGCCCAGGTTGATTAAAACAAATAATAATAATAACCACACACCTCACGGTAGCTTTATCTGGCACCCAGTGCCCTTGGGATCCTCAGTGCCCGGTGCACGCTCTGTCACCAAACATAAGTCACCCTGCGTCCAAGTGAGAGACAGGTTCAGAAGGCCTGGCTTTATCTTCAAACAACACAGAAACTGCCTGTGGCTGGGACCACCGAGAACCCAGGAAGTCCCGGTTACGGAAGATGTAATGATTTCACAGCCTCTGTGTGCTCATTGGACTTGGGGGTACCCATATGCTGTTTTCCAGTTATTATTATTATTATATTTTGGCTTTATAGATGTGAATTTTGTCTCTCAACTTGACCATAGCTCTTCAGAGAAAGGGAGCCATCTTCAAAGAAAGGGTACCATATCAGGCAATCTAGTCACTTTCTTTGAGTCCCATCTGTGAAAGTTAGTTTCCATTGTTGGCGTGATTGCATTAAGAAACATCTAGGGTGTTAGTGAGGTATACCAGGAGGGTGTCTGTGAGGGATGAAGACCCACCCTGAATGTGAGGGGGAGCTGTTGTCCGGGACTAGATAAATACTTATACAAGAAGCCAGGCATGGTGACCCACACCTTTTACTTCCAGAACTTAGAGGGGGAGAAGCAGACAGATCTACGAGGTCAAAAGCCAGCCTGGTTGGTCTACATATTGAGTTCCTAGCCAGCTGGGGCTACGCAGAAAGCTCCTGTTTCACCAGCATTCCTCTTTCCATGCTTTCTGGCCTACCGAGATGTGAGTGGGTTTCCTCATGATCCTGCCACCGTAGACAAGCTGGTCTCACCACCATGCTTTCCCTGTCATGTTGGATGTCTGTCCCCTCAAACTATGCACCAAAATAAATCCTTCTTGCCGCTGTTGATATTTTTTTCAGGTACTTTATCACAGTGACAAGAAAGGAACCATCAGTCTTCCGCCTCAGCCCCTGGTACAGCACAGTGCATGCTAGAATGAGGAAATGACAGCCACCACCACTGACAGCATTTATCACAAGGTCTCTTCATGAGACACAAACAAGAAGCCTGATTACGAATTACTTCCCCAGTGCTGCTAGCAAAGGAGTGAGGTTTCATTTCTAACTCTATCCATCTCTTTTGCCAAATGCTACCCTCAGGGTTCTGGGAATCCTGAGACAAAATCGACAAGAGGATCAATTTGACACTTTCTGTTGGCTTCCTACTTTCATGTAGATGTTTCCTTTTTAAAAGATTAAGTTAATTTAAAAAATTAAATTAATTATTTTGAGTTATGTACATTTGTGTATGGGTATGTGCATGTGAGTGCAATTACAGTTGAGGCCAGAAGGGGGCGTGGGTCTCCTCCAGCTGGAGTTAACAGGCTGTTGCAAGGAGCCCCCTGATGTTGGGTGTTCAGAACAGGCAGGCTTAGGTCCCCTGTAGGAACAGCAGGAACTCTTAACCACTGAGCCATCTCTCCAGCGCCTGTGGAAGCCTCTTCACTGGCTATTTATAAGCAGTTACTGCCTCGTGCTTGGAGTGGGTGAGACGCATTTCAGGGTTTCGTGAGTTAAACGTGAGAAGAGTGT